CACAGTGGCAGCCAACATGGCGCCACCTAGCCCCGATGCCTCCGTGCGAAGTGTAAAGTGCGCCTTACAAAGCGTCACTTAGCGCCTTAGCCCGATTAGCCCCAATCCTTGGCCTATTGACCCACGACTCACTAGCCCATAGCCCATGGCCCACTAGAACTGATGAGGGATTAATTAAATAAAAACAATTCTCAGTTTGCCGTTGGCAAGCCTCGAATATAGGACATTTTGAAACACCTAAACTTTAACTTTCTACTACGCTACTATGGATTTCTAAAAAATATCAGTAATTAATAAATACATAGTTTGAAAACTCATTTTTGGAAAGCGGTTTTGACCAAAAAAATCCAATAATTTCCCATAAGTTTTTAAACTTGTGTCATGTAACGGTACAGTTATTTCAATCGTTGTGCATAAGGTAGATATCGCAAGGACTTGAATCCCCTTTAGACCAACTGAATAAAAGATAGATGCATGGTGTCGCAGAGACTTGAACCAACACATGTATAAAAATTCAGCGATCACATAACATTAAACTTATTTGTGGTAGTTTTCACTTTGAACCACACTTGTCTTTGCCTTTGCCTTTGCCTTGCACATTTATGTCCATGTGCATGTCCTGATTTCTGCTAGGGCTCTAGGCATCTTTCCACAAGACGCCATAGGAGACGGTCAAATCTGCACCCAAGCATAGGTGAGTTCTTTAGGCATATATCAAACATCCCGCATCCGAGATGCTTTGAATTCATTAAGGCTTAAGAGCCATCCTCTCTTATGATAGGATTCTAGGTGAGTCCTTTAGGCATGTTTCCTATCTAACACCCCGTATCCGAAATTCTTTGGACTCATTAAGGCTTAACAGCCATCCCTTTTACATGATAGAATCATCGATGAGTCCTTTAGGCATGTTACATATCCAACAGCTCGCATCCAAAATGCTTTGGACTCATTAAGGCTTAACAACCATCCTCTATACCATGATAGGATTTCACTTGCAAATCTTACTTGACTTTTAAACCAATCATTTTGTTATTAGCAGCGTAAGCTTTGAACTAATAACTTAATGTAAATGGTAAGTATTTGTAAGACTCACCAAACTTTGTAAATCTTACTTAACTTTTGAACTAATTATCTTATCATTAGTAGCATAAGCTTTGAACTAATAACTTGATGTACATAGTAAGTATTTGTAAGACTCACAAAACTTTGAGACCCATTCCAGCAGACGTCCTTTCGACTATGTCTTTTTTTAGCCCTTTAGTCAAAGGATCAGCCATATTCTCTGAAGACCGGACGATAATCACAGATGACTCCTTGGCAAATGAGTTCTCTCAAATAGCCATGCTTCAGACGAATGGTCCACTTCTTTCCATTGAACATCGAGTTCACTTCCACAGCACTCGCCGCCTGATTATCACAATAGATAGTAATGGCGCCTTATAATTCTGTCAATGGAAGGTCACAAAGAAAATAACTGAGCCATTCAGCTCATATGGAATAAAACAGATAAATCTGTTAGATAGTTGAAGTGCTATATTTTTTAAACTTTTTCAAGTTTAGCTATTGTGTGTTTATGAAACGCTGTGCTTAAAGCAATATTTAGCCTACTCCGGTGCAGGGATCCAAGGCCAAACTGCTTCTAGGAACAGCAGTACAGTATACTGGTGTGTGCCGACCAAGTAGTGTCAAGATCTCCTCGATCTATAATACCTTTTGGTCAAGGCAATGATCTCCTCGATCTGTTAAACCTTTTGGTTCAAAACCTTTCAGTTAAAACCTTTCTGTTCAGGCAAAGATCTCCTTGATCTATTAAACCCTTTCGGTTCAAAACTTTTCAGTTCAGGCAAAGATCTTTCGATCTGAAAAAAACCTTTCGGTTAAAACAAAGATCTTTCGATCTGTAAAAACTTTTTGGTTCATGGCTATGTTCCTTCGAGCACAGACTAAAGCTTGCACGCTTTCAAACTCTGCAGCAGCAGCACAACAGCTCAATATATTCAACACTTCAATGTGTTTAAATATCCACAAGAGATGCCCTAAGGGGCACTATTTATAGGCCTCTAAAGCCAGCTGAAGGGTGACAAACAGTCATAAATATGGCTGTTACATATCATAATGACAATTATGATTGTAACAACAAATGAATTGATTGTTGTAGCTGCATGCAGGCTTAATTGCTGCATGTAGTAACGCCTGAACGCGAGTGCAAAGTGCGCCTTACAAAGCGCCACTTAGCGCCTCAGCCCGATTAGCCCCGATCCCCGGCCCATTGGTCCACGGCCCAAGACCCACTAGAACTTATGATGTATTAATTGAATAAAAATAATTCGAGGCTTGCCAAGCCTCGAACACAGTACCTTTTGAAACACCAAAACTTTAACTTTCCGCTATGCTACTAAGGATTTCTGAAAAATACCAGTAATTAATAAATACGTAGTTTGAAAACTAAATTTTGGAAAGCGGTTTTGACCAAAAAATCCAACAATTACTAGTATATTGTAAAACTACATACTCCTATGTATGTAAGAAAGACAGATCTTTGTATTTTATGCGATTACAACCAAATATGCAAATGTCTCAAATAGAAACAAGAATAAATTATTTATTAATTTATATAGCATGAAGCCACACCAAATGGCAGCATCAATTTTCATCCACGGACATAATATGTCCGTAAAAAAACCACGGTTACCCATTCATTGATAAAAATATCTACTATAATCACAATAAGCATATAAGTTTTTTTAAGAGAGAAAGCACCAATTATATAGATTTGCGAATGTAAAATCCATGAAGTGATATAGTCAACTCAGATAAATTTTTAATAAATAGACTTTCAAGATGACAATACTATATGACAGTTTGGCATACCAACTGTCACAAGTTTTGTCTAACTTTCAAATATACAAACTTCAATTTGTTCCACGAGTACTTTAATTCACATCTTCAGTTTTTCTACCAATAATATAGGAATTTTAGAGGAATTATTTTATGCACTAAACCACTCTAATTTAAAATAGAATCTTCATGTAGTTTCAAGCTTTGTGTATGAGATTATTTCTGTTAGTTAGTACATTGTTAACTATGTGTAATCAAAAATCAAAGTACTCTCAACAGATTTTGCAGAAAACCACCAATAAAATTTAAACATTTTGGCATATAACCTGCAAATTTCAAAACTATGACTTTTTTACCCTAAAAAAAATCTAGAGATTACAAAAAGGCTTTGGACAAAAAACGAACACTACAATTTTCTGTCTAATAAATTTTACAAATTAGAAACAACCACATGAAAATCTAAAAATCACAAACAAAATATGACTGTTTATAATTTTTCAAGGTTTTTAGCGATCTATCTGTAATTTTTTGGACTTTTAACGAGTTGTTTATATTTTTTGAATTTATCAGTTGCCTGTAATTATTTGATCTTTCAAGGGTCAGCTGTAAGTTTAAGGTTATTACGGGAATTTATAATTTTCTAACCTTATGGGATTGTTTGCAATTTTCAAAATTTACAGTAGATATTTGCAATTTGATATTTAAGAGGGTTATTCCTGATTTTGGGTTTTTAGGGTTTTTACTCTTTTATAATTTTTAGACGTATGCTTGCATTAATTTTCAGAATTTTGAAGTTGTAGTTTGTAGTATTCAAGACTTAACGAGTTGCTTTTAATTTACAAATTTTGTGGCTGAACTATTGGTAATTTCTAATATTGTGAAGTTGTTTGTAATTTTTGTATTAGGTGGTATTTATGTAATTTTTCATATTTTTCAGGTGTCTATTTTTGTAATTTTTAGATTGTTCAGAATGTTTTTTGTTGTTTTCGGACTTAAAGGTGAATAATTATAACTTCTAGATAATTCAAGGAGTTAGTTTTTATTTTTAGATATTTCAAGGGGCTATTTGTAATAATTGAATGTTAAGGTTCGGTTCAATTCTAATTTTATACATGTAAAAAAATCTATTTTTTTAATGTTACTGTTGTTGAGAGATAAAAATCATAAGAGTAATGTCGGTTATGGGTTTGAAGTGAAAATAAAATAATTAATCAATAAATATTTTGACCGTTTTATGAGATTCAAAAACTCATTAGAGATTTAGTGAGAAGTTTAAAATTTTTGGGATTTAACTGAAAAAAGTTAGAACTTATATAGCAGGTGCCATCATTTTTTTTTTTTGAAAAGTTTATACAGAGGATTTTCTTATAGTTTATGTAGTAAGAGGGTGAATGAAGGAGGAAATATCCTTCCCTTTTCTACTACATAATGGCAAGTGGCACCTCCTCGGTGTAATGTCCTATAGAGAATTGGACCCATACATTTCCTTCTTTTTTTATAGGATATTCGGCCAAGGAAGCTCTATGTGATTTTCTCCCACTACTGACTGCTAATTTTCTTTGTATACTCTCCGTTTAAAAGTTTATTTTATACTAAAATATTTGCAATAATTTCAGAAAATCACTTGGACTTTGAAAACTTTTTCACCGGATCCTAGATCATGTAATTTGAAAATACGTAAAAGTTTTTTTAAGAGAGAAAAATCTGAAATTTCTGGGAGGGGGTACGCTGTTAGTAGATGACAAATAACAAAATTTGATATTTTTACTCTGAAAGATACTTTTTGTTATGTTCAAAATATAGGTAGGAGGACCGGTGAGAAAATGAGAAAGTTCATTGGGGTTTTTTAGACACCTCAAAGTACAGATAAGTTATGCAAAATAAACAAAATTCAGGAGGGCTACGGAGAACCACGAAAAAGGTCAGGGTGGTTTCCTGGAATTAACCCAAAATAATATTTCAACCGTTGCTGAGCTGGTCTATGGACCATAACGGAAGAAAGAAACATTCCAACCGCCCTTGCGCATGAAACGCTAAAACTCCTCCTGTTCAACACCCATCCTAAGCGTTACAAATATAATAAAAAACAAAAACAAAATCAAGAACACGCGACCCTCACGCGCTCTCCAAGTGTCACCCAACGAGAAAAATACTCATTAATTATCTGTGCCCTTCACCTGTTATCTCTTGCTAGCTATTTTTCTTCTTGAATTTGACCTCCAAAGAAAGAAAAGAAGAAGAAAAAGGGGGGAAAGGAGGGAAAAAAGAGATGTCGACTCTCACTGTGCCTCCCAATCTCAGCTCACCTCGCCAAGACGCCATTGATCTCTACAAAGCTTTTAAAGGTGATTTCAGCTTCTGGGTATTTCGAAATTTTCATTTTTTGGGGTTTTTTTGATGACCCATTTTGCTTTGGTTGAAATAAATAGTGGGCCTTTGATTAATTTTTATTTATTGTCGTTATGTTTCCCTTGATAAGCTTAGGTCTCTTGCATGTTGTTCGGTTTGGTTGTGGGGAATTTAGGAAGAATTTTGGTTGAATTTCAACTTCTGGGTATTTCAATTTTTTTCATTTTTGGGTTTTTTTATGACCCGTTTCAATTGGTTGAAGTACCCTGTGCATTGTGATTTAGTTTAGTGGTTTTTGTTTCTGTTGTATATTGATGGGTTCATTTTAATAATTAATGGGTCTTTTGGTCAATTTTCTTTATTGCAATTATTTTGCCTTCTTATGATCTTAGGTCTCTTGCATGTTGTTTTACTCAGTAGGAGGGTAATTTAGAAAGAATTTGGATTCATTTGGATGCTTGGGGTTTGTTATGAAGTGAATTAAAGTTGTTTGAACATTGCCCATTTCTATATTTAGGGGTTTCTTTCACTGCTTTATTTGGTTTTGGGTTAAGTTAGAAGATGAGTTTGCTATTAAATTTATCACTGTCATAAAGCAAAATTATAAAGAACAATGAGTATATTAGAGGAGATGCATAATTGATGGCACTGCTCGAGGAAACTGGGATGTAAAATCAAAGCCAGGGGACAAATTGTTTGTTTTCACCTAAATTATATACTACCTCTTAGATTTCAGATTGCATCTTGGGGAAATTAATGCTGTAAAAAAAAGTAATATAATAATATAAAAACCAAATTAAAGAGTTAGAAAATTCAGGCCTGATCGGGAGCAGTCGTGATGTCACTGCCCTAGAAGATTAAGGACCCGCCTATCGCCCTGGCGCAATTTGTGCCCTTTTCTCTAGCGGTAAAAACCCCCGGAATCGGCCGGCCTCTGCACTCGGGCGTGAGTCACAGAGCTTATGCTCAAAAACCCCCGGAATCGGCCGGCCTCTGCACTCGGGCGTGAGTCACAGAGCTTATGCTCAGACGAAAACTGTTGCCCAAAAAATAGAAATATAAATATGTAGCCGAAATTTCTTGGAGAAATAAGAGTAGAAAAAGAAGAGAGCTTAGAAGTTCTTCTCTCCGTTAGTGTACTTCTGAATGAGCTCCAAGCCTGCTTATATAGGTGAGGAGAAGTGTAACCCCCGCTGAATCCAAGGGACCATTACGCACAAATCTTGCTTCCGTTACCCGCATGCAGTCGTTACAAAACGTGTAAAACGTGCAAAAATAAAAGCTTGAGAAGCAAAAATGTGTGCGTGTGCGGTGCGACGTTGTGTGGCGTGCGCGCGTTCGGGTGAGGCGTGGCGTGGCGAGGCGAGGCGTGGCGTGTGTGCGCGCGCGCGTGTGGTAGATATGCAAAACCCACAAAACCCAAAACACTATTCAAAGCCTAATAAGGAGAGAACCATTATATACCCTATACTATTCATCTCATTTTCCAATGTGAGACTATTCACAAAGTCAAAATTGTCTTTTCATGAACAAAGCATCCAACAGTCCCCCAAAAGGTAATATTGACTGAAAATAATAAATCAATAAATAAATCACAAAATAAATATAGGTTGGGCAAATAATAAATCAATAAATAAATCACAAAATAAATATAGGTTGGGCAACCTTTCGTATCGTGAATTCAGGAGAGGTAGCTTTCGGCTTTGAACCTTTCCTTAGTGAGTTCATCGTCACCTGAGGGACATAATGGACTAGGTCTTGAATTAGACCCCTTGGATCAGGTATTGATAAAAACACACATAATATGTTTTCATCCATTGAGCTAAACGGGTTGAGCGTTAAAAGCCATGCTCATAAAAAACCGACTCATGAGAGTTTCTAGGGGTCAGCCCTGCCCCCCCAACCGCGGCCATCACGGTTCCTCTCACGTAGGTAAGTCCTCAAAGGGTACTACAGCTATTTATTTAATACCCCCCACAATACACGCGTTGAACTTATTAAGAGTAAAACTCAGCCTAGCCAGCTGTATCATAAGAGCATCGTCATCATAGAGAAGGGGTAGTAGCAAATGCTACATAATGATATATAAATATATCTAGATCGATGCTCCACACGAGAGTCACTTGTCCAGCTTGTTTCTACCACATTGAACCGACATTAGAACTACGTCTCCAAATAAGGGTTGGGTTACCGCTGTCAGTGACCTCATTTATGGGCTTAACCCTATCTCCCTCGATGAATCCAGAACCACACTCCTGGATAATCCCTTAGTCAAAGGGTCAGCAAGATTTTTCTCAGACTTTACAAAGTCCAAGATCACAACTTTGCCTAACAGGCGTTGTACAGACTTATATCTTATTTGAATATGTCTGTTATGTTTTTTATTTACATGTACTTGCTTTAGAAGCTCTATGGTAGATCTAGAATTAGAGTGAATGGAAATAGAAGGAGAGGGTTTAGGGACCAAAGGAAGTTCAGAGAGAAGATCTTTTAATCATTCAGCTTCTGTGCAAGTAGTATCAAGAGCAATCAGCTCAGATTTCATGGTGCTCCTGGCAATTACTGTTTGCTTACATGATTTTCAGGATACAGCAGCATCACAAAAAAAAATACATATCTAGATGTAGATTTTACACTGTTGGAATCCGTGACCCAGTTGGCGTCACTATACCCTTCTATAGCATCAGGGTAACCAGTGTAAGTCAAGCAATAGTCAATTGTGCCTTTCAGATATTTGAATACTCTTTCTAAGGCAGTCCAATGATCTTTGCTAAGGTTGCTAGTATACCGACTCAGTCTCCCTATAGCATAAGCTATATTGGGTCTGGTTCGGTTGGATATGTAAAGAAAAGATCCAATCATCTGAGAATATTTCAGCTGGGAGACAGGTTCACCTTCATTCTTCTTCAAGGATATAGAAGAATCATAAGGTGTGGAAACAGGTTTAGAGTTATGAAAGTTAAATTTGATTAGCATTTTATCAATGCTATGGGAAAGACTCAAAGATATTCCTCTAGTGTCTCTAGAGATTTTCATTCCAAGTATTATATCTGCAAGACCTAAGTCTTTCATATCAAAGTTTTTGGAAAGATAATCCTTAACCTTTGAAATTAATTCAAGTGTTGTTCCAAAGATAAGGATATCATCAACATAGAGACAGAGAATGACATAGTCATTGTTTATCACTTTAGAATAGTCACATTTATCGTGTTCATTCACAGTGAAGGCATATTGTGCAATGACGTTGTCAAATTTCTGGTGCCATTATTTAGGAGCTTGTTTAAGACCATACAAAGATTTAATAAGCTTACAGACTTTGTTTTCCTGACCCTTGGCAATGAGGCCTTCAGGTTGGTGCATATAGATCTCTTCATCTAAATCACCATTCAGAAAAACAGTCTTGACATCCATCTGATGTATGATTAGCTTATGGATAGCAGCAAAGGCTAATAATACTCGGATAGTTGAGATTCGGGCTACAGGAGAATAGGTATCAAAATAATCAATGTCCTTTTGTTGAGTATAGCCTTTAGCCACTAATTTAGCTTTAAATTTATCTATGGAACCATCAGCTCTGAGTTTCTTCTTGAATATCCACTTACAACCAATAGGTTTACAACCTGGAGGTAAGTCGGTGAGTATCCAAGTATGGTTTTTCATGATAGATTTAATTTCATTATCAATGGCTTCTTTCTAGAAAGGAGATTCAGGCGAATCCATTGCTTCTTGGAATGAACTTGGATCACCTTCGACAAGAAAGGTAAGGAAGTCTTCTCCAAAATCCTTTTCGATTCTACCTCTTTTGCTTCTTCGAGGTTCAATAACAAGAGGTTAAGAAGAACTGGAAGATGGTAGATCAAAAGGAATGGATGATCTGAGATTTTCTGAGATTTTAGATTTAAAAGGAAAGATGTTTTCAAAGTAGACTGCATCTCTTGCTTCAATGATGGTATTGTTGGATGTCACAGATTTCAGATTTGATGACTAGAAATCTGTTAACATTGCTATCTAGTGCATATCCAATAAAAGCAGTATCTACAGTCTTAGAATCAATTTTTCTCTTCTTAGGTTCGAGAATAGCTACTTTAGCCAAGCAACCCCAAACCCGGAAGAAATTCAGATTAGGTGATCTTCCCTTCCAATATTCATAAGGAGTTGTATCAGAATTTTTCTGGGGAATCCTATTAAGAATGAAGTAAGCAGAAAGAAGAGCTTCACCCCAGAGATTTTCAGGTGCTCCTGAACTGAGTAACATACAGTTCACCATGTCCATTAGGGTTCTATTCTTTCGTTCAGCTACCCCGTTAGACTGTGGTGTATAGGGAGCAATAACCTCATGAATAATACCATGTTCTTGGCAATATTCAGTCATATGATTTGAGGTATACTCCCCCCTACGATCAGATCTTAGAATCTTGATCTTCCTGTCAAGTTGGTTCTTAGATTCAGTTTTATACACCTTAAACCTATCTAAGACTTTATCTTTAGTTTTGAGAAGATAGGTGTAACAATATCTTGAGTGATCGTCTATAAAAGTCACAAAATACCTCCTGCCCCCTCGGGTGAGAACTCGATTTGAGTCACACACATCACTATGAATTAATTCGAGGGGTTCAGAGTTTCTAGTTATAGACTTGAAGGGTTTTTTAGTGTGTTTTCCTTAAACACAGATTTCACACTTAGATGAGGAGTCATGAGAAGATTTGGGAATAAGGTTTAATTTACTCATTCTCTGCAAGGTTTGAAAATTAACATGTCCAAGTCGTCCATGCCAGACATCACAAGATTCAACAATTTGTATAACAGAAGACTCAGAAATTTCATTAGAACTGGAATTGATTACATTGAGTTTGAAAAGATCATTGCAGATAAAATATTTTCCTATGAAAACATTACTCTTTATAATCACAAATTTGTTGGATTCTTTTACAATCCTATAACCAGCTCTAAGAAGAAGAGATTCACTAATCAGATTGCGACGGAGAGAAGGAACATGATAAACGCCTTGCAGATGAAGAGATTTCCCAGAAGTCATGGTGAGCTCTATACGTCCACTTCCTATTATTGATCTAGTGGAGTCATCTGCTAAGCTTATGCTTCCTCCACATGATTCCTGATAATTTGAAAACTAAGAGCGGTCATTACAGACGTGGATATTTGCTCCGGAATCCAAATACCAATCAGTGAAAGAAGTTAGAGAATTTACAAGATGAGATGAAGAGGCTAACCTGAAAGAGGTTGGATTTATTTCAATCATATTTACTTTGTTGGATCCATTTCATTTGGGGGTAGATTTGGCCGGTTCATTCTTCCGAAAGAAACAGTTGTGAGCCATGTGGTTGGTTCTACCACAGACAAAGCAGAACTTCTCATCAGACTTATGGCTGAAAGAATTGAGATTTGATTTGAAGGAGGATTTGTTGAAAGATTTGTTGAAAGATTATTGATTTTTCTTGAATTTCTTCTCTTTGTATTTAAAATTCTTAGATTTAGGCTTATCCTCTACCAAGTTTACTTTAGCTTTTGTTTCATTCTTGGTGTTGGAATTTTGCCTATGCTGGTCTTCAATACGAATAGCCTTGAGGGCTTCAGTTAAGATTAGATCTCCTTGCTTGTGTCGGAGATCTCCAGCAAATCTAGACCAGGAGGGAGGAAGTTTATCAATCAAACATGAAACTTTATAGTCATCAGTAAAAGTGTTTCCTTTTGATTGGAGATGACGGAGGAAATCTAGGAATTCATGAATTTGTTCATTAATGGGCTTATCATCAACCATCATGAACTTATTGAAGGAGAAGGAGGTGAAACGCAGAATTTCGGTATCATCATAGCCATATTCTGCTTCAAGAGCATTCCATAGGTGTTTTGCACTTTTGAACTCATAATATATGTCATAAAGGTTGTCCGTAAGTGCACTAAGAATCCTATGACAACAATGATAGTTGATTTCTTCTGGTTTCATAGAGCTAGAAAAGGAGCTAGCACCAGAACCAGAAGTGGAAGGAGCAGGTTGAGTAGGATCAGGAGTCAAAGGTTGAGAACCAGACCTAAGGTAGTGAGCTAGTATTTCATCTGATTAGCCCATCGTTTATAGTTAACACCGGTGAACTTCTCAGGTTTGACACTTTTTGAATGATCAGGAATTGTCATAAGTCCAATTCAAGTTTACTAGTCTAGGTAGATGGAATCTGATATAATAAAGGATTTTATCAATATTACTAGACCAGAAACTTAATTAAACCTACTTTAAAAAAACTCTGAAAGTGAAAAGATAAAAATTTTACTCGGGTAGTTTGACCAGGTAAGGATAGTATTAGAGGTTGATCAAAGATCTATTAAGTACCTCGTTTCTTACAGAGCGCTTGACGCAACCCTTAAACATTTCCTTAGACACCAACTAATCCAAGAAAACTTGAACCGTTAAAACAATTAACTAATACAACAAGTAATTACAATGAAGATTTGGGTGAACAGTAATCCCGATGAACAGTATTTTTTAAAAAAAATTTTAATTTTTTTTAAATTTAAAATAAACAACAAGAAATTTTATTTAATCTTCTAGATTGCTGTAAAAAAAAGGAATATAATAATATAAAAACCAAATTAAAGAGTTAGAAATTTCAGGCCTGATCGGGAGCAGTCGTGATGTTACTGTCCTAGAAGATTAAGGACCTGCCTATCGTCTTGGCGTAATTTGTCCCCTCTCCCCTAACGGTAAAAACCCCCGGAATCGGCCGGCCTTTGCACTCGGGCGTGAGTCACAGAGCTTATGCTCAGACGAAAACGCTTGCCCAAAAAATAGAAATATAAATATGTAATCGAAATTTCTTGGAGAAATGAGAGTAGAGAAAGAAGAGAGCTTAGAAGTTCTTCTCTTCGTTGGTGTACTTCTAAATGAGCTCCAAGCCTGCTTATATAGGTGAGGAGAAGTGTAACCCCCGTTGAATCCAAGGGACCGTTACGCACAAATCTTGCTTCCGTTACCCGTATGCAGCCGTTACAAAACGTGTAAAACATGCAAAAATAAAAGCTTGAGAAGCAAAAATGTGTGCGGTGCGGCGTGGCGCGCGTGCGGGCGAGGCGTGGCGTGCGCGCGCGTGTGTGGTAGATATGCAAAGCCCACAAAACCCAAAACACTATTCAAAGCCCAAAGCCCAAAGCCCAATAAGGAGAGAACCATTATATACCCTATACTATTCATCTCATTTTCCAATGTGAGACTATTCACAAAGGCAAAATTGTCTTTTCATGAACAAAGCATCCAACAATTAAAGCAAGGGGATAAATTGTGTATTTGCATTGGAATCTGACAACATTGTTAATTGAATGAGTAATAATGTTCCAGGGCTGTTTAACCACTGTACGCTAATTATATTTCATCAGAGGATTCCTTTTTCTGCAGAGCGGGTTTGTTTGGTTATTGTTGTTAGTATTTTGTTTATTTTAATTTATCTCTGACTATATGTTACCTGGGCCAGCAAAGTGATAGTATAGAGTTACCTCGAAATATTGATGATTCTTGAGCAGAGAAGAACTTTGAAATTTGAGGGTTGAAGTATCATTTAACCAATCCAGTTTTTTCTCTGGAGAAATTGGCTTATTTAAAGTCCGTATATGGGTTATCATGGTGCATCAATGTTTCTTGACCGGCATATAATGTTTCAGAAGCATCTAATAACTTTGCGAAATAGATTGCAAATGACATTTAGGTATTAAAAAAAATATGTAACTTATTGTTAAGTGCTGGCTAGCTACTATTTACAAGAAAATATACAATTTGCATGATTATTCTTAAATAAACTCTGCTACTGTTCAGGATTTGGTTGCGATAGCTCAACTGTAGTCAAAATTCTTGCTCATCGGGATGCAACCCAGCGAAATCTCATCCAGCACGAGTACCGTGCAATGTACCATGAGGAACTTACCACTCGATTGAGTAAAGAGCTTGGTGGGGACCTTAAGGTGTTATATTTCTCTAAAATCAGGCAGCTCTTGAATAGTGAAGAAAATTTTAAAGCTTAATTGCGAATAGACCCCATACTGTGTCACTGTTTTGAGCTTAGTACCCCTCGAATTTTTTTTCCATTGACTGGAGATAGACACCCCACCCCCCCCCCCCTAAAAAAACACATACTTTTTTGACTCATTTGCCTGTAGGGGTCTACTGGTCAAAAACAATTTTTTTTTCTTTCTCTAAGGTTCAAAAAGTTTTCATGCAACAATAAAACAATGATACTGCAAGGGGTTTATTCACAGTTAAACCCAAAAATTAACGGATTCTTTCCTTGCATTAAGTTTAAGTTGCAAAATGTTAATGACTTGTTTTTTCCTTGTGTCTTAGAAAGCAATGATGCTTTGGATTCTTGATCCAGCCAACCGAGATGCCACTATAGTTAGGCAAGCACTCACCGGAGATGTCATCGATCTCCGTGCAGCCACTGAAGTGCTATGTTCTCGCACACCTTCCATGATACAGACAATTAAACAGGCATACCTTGCAAGATTCGGTGCTTATCTTGAACACGATATTCAAAACCTGGCCACTGGTGATCACCAAAAGGTCAGCTTTGTTTTAGAAAATTATCTTTTGTTGTTATTTGTTCTTTATCAAAGTGATTTATAGTGGTTATTCGGTGTTTCTTATTTTATATATATGTGCATGCACTTCCATGTGTCTTGGCTCATAGTATCCTACTTGTTCCAAGAATTGATGTCTCATCTTTATTTCATTGTATTGATTGTACATGGTCAACAAACCATTTTTCATGTATGAGAACTGAGGTTTCTATATCGTAGAAACATCCCCAACATCAACCATTGCTAAACTCCATATGCTGTTTGTCTCCTCAAACCTTCTCATTAGTTTCTGCACCCGGTACTTCATTATGTTTCCCCAGTACCTTTCTCTAAAGGAAAATTCAGTCATAGAGTATATCCATATTTTTGAATGAATGATGACATGTCATCATTGGCTTGCAGCTTCTTCTCTCATATACTGGAGTGATTCGTTTCGAAGGTCCTCAATTTGATCCTTCAATGGTAGCGACAGATGCCAAGGCTCTCTATAAAGCCGGAGAAAAGAAACTGGGCACAGATGAGAAGGTGTTCATTCACATCTTCAGTGAACGAAGCAGTGCGCATTTGGCTGCTATTGCTTCTACATACCATGATGCATACGGAAGCTCTCTAGAGAAGGTAGAATACCTTTCCCCCATGTTTTCTCTCTTTTAGCACTGGTTGCAAATGTAAATAACTATATTATTATTATTTGCAGGCTGTCAAGAGTGAAACATCTGGATTATTTGAATTTGGTCTGCTGACTATTTTAAGGTGTGCTGAGAATCCGGCCAAGTACTTTGCGAAGGTAAGATCATTTGTGATTTATTCTGACTATTTAAAAATGCACAAAGTTCATAATTTTGTTTATCAACCATTCACAAATGTTTCAAACCTACAAGAGACAAATCAATTATCTATAAGATACTCTTAATTTTTCAACAATTTTGTACCATTGATTGTTGATGCTACCTCATGTTCTTAAGGTAATTTCATGGTTCTTTACATGTGCAAAAAATAACTTATTCGAGACTCTCGATCTTTTTTAATTACAAAGTTTAACTTCTTCAAATTTTTTCGCTTTGCTTTTGGAAAAACTGCTGCATTTTCCTGAAATCCTGATTCATTGCCTCTCAAAATTACTTCCAAATCCCGAATTTTTCAATATGGTGCTATATCAACTCAAATGGCGTGAACACTGTAGTTGTGAAATTTTTTTTGGGGAAACTGTAGTTACGATATTAATTCACTTGCTCTAGTAGAAGTCTAAACAGAACCTAAAAGCTACTAGCAAAATCTTGTTCTGTTTAAACTGGTCTGAATCTCTAAACCTGACTTCTTAGTATCCTAAATGTTTCTGAGAAATCAATATCAGGCGATCAGTATTGTCATCTTATTTAAAGCTAATATACACAAATATGGTGGTTGTCAAGGAAATCTTTTGCCCTCCACCCTCTAGTTTGCCAATATATATTTGCTTATGAAGCTTCTCATAGTACAACAGCAACAAAGCCATCCATTTACTCTTCCATCCAGTACTGTTAAGAGAATGTAAATTTCACAAAACCCCAAGAAGTTTGGCCCATTTTGAGATAAACCCCCAGAACTTTGGAGATGTCACTTAACCTCCAAAACTTTTGCATTTTTCTGAATCTATTTTTAAGATAACTCCAACTTTTGTTGTTACCTGAAAAAGTTTTTGGGTCAAGTGACACTTCCAAACTTCTTGGATGGCTTTGTGAAATTTACCCATAAATTAGTTATTATCTGATCCTTTTTAACTGTGTCCAAAATATTGTGTCGTACTAGTATGACATACATTCACAAACTTTTACTGTAATTGTTCATAATTGACTCTTGTTAATGTTCTTCAGTTGCTACGCAAATCTATGAAGGGCCTAGGAACCAATGACACGATGCTTATAAGGGTTGTAGTCAGCAGGACTGAAATCGACATGCAATACATCAAAGCAGAGTATCAGAAGAAGTACAAGAAGGCGTTGAGTGCTGCGATCCACTCAGAGACTTCAGGCCATTACCGAGCATTTCTTCTCGCCCTTGTGGGCCCCAACTAGGGTTTGCAGGGGTTCATCGAGACTGATAGCTTCTAGTTGTGTGCCCTTTGTTGTAAGGGTGTTGTTGAATGCTATTGTTAAGATGTTGTGCTTTGCGTACTGAAATGTTCAGGCTTGGTGGTTGTTTAATGTTTCACTTTTATCAGCGTATTTCCTCCAGAAATATATGCTTCTAGTGTCATTATGGGTTATGTATATCTTGTGGTTTGTTATTTTCTGATTTCATAGGTGACATTCTTGTGAATATATAAGCAGTATCTTGTGGGTAGCTTGGAAATTAGAAGATTGTTTGGACTTGTTGGGGGAATGTATGTATTCAATTAAGAGGATGTACATTGTCCTTGATGCGAAAATGTGTAATTTTTAATCCTTTCTTACATCTGTTTAAGTGCAAATCTCCCTCTGTAATTATGTTCATAATCTCTGGTTTGATATTAGTTCTCACCACAGTGATACTAATTTCATTGATTTGTATTATTTTGTGGGCTTAGTTCTAATGTTGGTCTAAATTTGTGTTTGCTCTCTATTCCCATGTCCACAGTGTAATTCAAATTCAAACTCCGATGTCAATTTGCCACAACTTATGGTCAACTAAAATTTATGAACTCCGTACGACCAAAATAAAACGAACCCTATTGTGTCTTTTGACCTAATCTTAGTTTAAAAAGTAAACCGTCAATCACCATGAAACATGTAGAACTATAATTCATTTATACCACCCAACTTAGTTGATGCAGACAACTAATTTACGGAAGAAAATTAATGTAGTAATATATAAGAATAAATTATTTGTTGAGCCAAGTAATCATTTCATCACATGTTTCTTGCAATATGATATCACTTGAAATGTGTGATTTCTAGTCTTCGGTCTTGAAAACGTATCAGTTTTAATCTTCTCAAAGTTATTTTTCACTATCTCTATCACATATATTTTTTTCTTTAATGATTTTTAGGTAGACTTTTGGATACGCATCATTATACATTAACTGTGATGAACCGAGTTTCGATGAAATTTTGGAGGAAACCAAAACCTGAATGTAAAATATGATTATCAAATAAAAATGTAAATGTTTATTATTTTTTTTAAGAGAAAAAGTAAAAGATCCAAAAGAAAATGAGAAGAATGAAAAAGGATAAAAGAAAAATCTAACCAAAATAAATCAACAACAATCACTTTTAAATTCTACTATTAAGCCTAAACTCACTAGACCAGCTCCTAACCAAAAACTCCTTTAGTGAAAAGATTAAAGTTTATTCAGTCAGTTAGCCAGGTAAGGATAGTACTAGAGGGAGATCAAAGATCAAGTAAGTACATTGTTCCTTGCGGAGCGCTTTACGGAACCCCTAAACCTTGCCTTAGACACCAACGGGTTCAAGTAAACTTAAACCGGTCCACTTGAGGATTTCTTGTTCCTTAATTGAGCTCAAATCCTTATGGGCCAACATCTAATGAGTTTTAAAAGGCTTGAGTTTGTGTAGTGAGGAATTAGTGATTTGTGAGCTAAGGAAAGAGTGATAAAATCCATCACCTTATCTTGATTAGAGGGTATTGCCCCTAAGAATATTTTCAAGTGAGTGTCATATCAAGATGCTCAAATCACTTGGGCGAATTTCTACTAACTATATGCAATGCAACACAATGAATTAAAAGCAACTACAAAAGGATGCTAAAAAAATCTTTTTTGTTTTTTAAATTAAAGTTAACAATCAAACAAATGTGAGAAAGAGAACTATTGTTTGAATTTATTATTTTGTTAGTAGTTATTTAAATAGAGGGTAGATTTTATTAGGGTCAACACAAAACAGATTTTTTTTTTGTTTTTATTAGCTCCTAATTGTCTCTAATGTGAAAAGCTTAACTAGAAGGTGGAATTAAAAATACAAGATAGATAACTTACCTTTTCAAGCAAATCTTCTCTGTAGTCTTCAACTTTCTCCTTCAAAGTTGTACCTTCGCACTTAAACACATAAATTAAAGAACCAAAATAGATGAGATCTAATTACAAGCACCTTCCCTGGCAATGGCGCCAAAAACTTGATGTAGTGTTTGTGAATATGTCGGTATTGCAAGTGCACAATCAAGTTATAGTATAGAAAAATATCGAATCCCACGAGGAAGGTGTTGTAGGAATTAATCAAAAGTGATTCTTAAGTTGTATGTGTGACAATTAAGAGTGATAAATGTGTGATTTTGGAGAGATATGAAGAGAGTGGTTGTAACTATATGCAAATAAAAACAAAACTAGAGTGAGAAGGGAGGAAGAAAGATGAAGTAGAAGAAAATAAAATCAAGAATCAAATAAAGGAAAATCAAGAATAAAGAAGAAAATCAAGAAAGTAAAAGATGGATGATTCAATTAAAGATATGAGGAATATAGAATTGAATCCACTAGTCAATGTCAATTATAAATTATGAACCATTCTCTTTTTATCACATTTTACTTTAGATTTATTAAGCATAAACAATCAAACCACTTAAAGAAAGCATAACCTATCAAATTATCATCTAAGTAAAATTAACATTCATGAAAAGAACAACAACTAGATAGTAATTCTAGAATTTCTCCTACCAATTAGTTCTCTAGTTGATTATCCTAAACATTATCGTTTTAAGCACAAGAGAGTAATTCACAATTCATAAAAGAAATTAAACTAGTTTCATGTAATTCTAGAATTCCTACAAGAATTAGTTCCACATCTTAGAAAATAAAAATAAAAAATAAAAGGGAGGGAATGGAAATAAAAACTAACTCCAAAGAGTTCTAGCCTCTGAGTGAGAGAATGAAAGAAAAAGAATGAACAAAAATAAATACTAATTCCTAAGAGGGTTCTAGCCTCTTGGTAAATAGTGCAAGAAATAAAATTTAAACTATGTAAAAAAATTGTTATGGTGTTTTCAATCGCCAAGTGCAACCTTTTGCCAACAACGGACATGGGTACTTCTGCATGAAATGTCCCAATCAAATTGGCTGCCCAAGACCAACAAGGGTTCCAACTTAGCCGACTCGTTGAGTCGATATCCCTTTATGTCAACTTGAAAGGCGGTACGAGTCACCCCCTATTGTTGAAGACGACTCACCACGAGTCCACTCGACCACTTGTTCAACGCCTCGTGGGGTCGACTCGAAAGGCGTTACTTCTCGGTCAAGCTAAAGGACTTCAACATTGAGCCTCTCCCACTGACAACGTGTTAGCATCGCATTTAATGCTTGACAGACACCATCATGCCTCTAGCCCCGATAGTCTTCATGACTCATCGGACCATGCCAGCACCGCCATACCCCCGATCACTTCACATTTAATTTAGAAGTGATCTCTCTGCCATCGGACCATGCCAGCACCGCCATACCCCCGATCACTTCACATTTAATTTAGAAGTGATCTCTCTGCCACTCACCGAGAGACACCTAAAAAGTAGGTGCTGGCGTAGCTGCCAACCCATACTTCCTTGTTGTCATCTTGTGCTCAACCGAAGTGATCGATCTACCCTTTCGGTACTAGTATAAATAGAGGTACTATTCTAACATCCGGGATCTGATCCTTGATTCTGGATTCTGACCTAAACTCTCTAAATTTTGCAAATTATACTGCACAGCCACAAGAACTCTCACATTTCTTATTTACCCCACTGAAGTTCATCAGCTAACTCGATCGTTGGAGGTACAACGGGGGAACCAAGCTCCATCCTCTCACGAATTTCTACATGTGTAGATTTTTCAGATACCTAATTCAAGAACCAGATATAAAGTCAGGGAAGAAAGCGACCCCTCATCAATCCTCAACAAACTCATCCAAACACGGATACATAACTGACTGTGTGATCACTAGTACATCAACAGTTTAGCGCCCACTGTGGGGCATCTTTGTTTTTGAGAAAGCATGTCTGGTTCTGAGGATAGGGCTGATCAGTTTCACCCTATAGAACCATACCAAAGCTATGTTACTCGAGCCCAACTTGAAGAAATAACTCAGAAGATTTCTCAATCTCTCCAATAGTAATTCATTACCTTTACTAGAAAACTTCTCAGCCGGCTTTTATAGCCACAACAAGCTACCTCAGCTATCCCTCCGCCTTCTAGAGACTTGCGGTCGGAGACTCACCCTCCTTCCAGAGCACAACAAGTAGTCCCACCTCAGACTCCTCATGCTGCTGCCAAGCAGTTGAGGGATTACATTGAATATGAGACCCCACTACTACACCGGTTGACTCGCCCTGAGGAGCCTCACCGACATCTCTTCTCTCATCGTGAAGTTACCGGCGAGAGTCATGGCCCTGGTCATCTTAGGGACCATCCTATAAGAGCAGTCTCTAAGACTCCCGCACCATTGTGCTTCTCCAGCCCCTTTTGCTATTGTAGGGGCCTCTGGATACTGATAATCACATTTTTATTATATTTTATACCCTCATTAGCTATTTAATTTAAATAAATTTATCACTAATAAATATATTTTATCTTAATTGCAGGTTAATGAATAAAAACCTAAGAACAACTCAATATCTCATCTCTCATAAAAGCCCAATAGTCCAAGCCCAAGAGAAAATCAAAAATCCTATCGATACTCGTAATGATACCGGTATCAATAACTGTATCGATACCGGTATTGATACGTGATTACTGTTGCGAAATTAAGGGCTAAAGTTGATTAGCTTAGGGATCAAGTTTAATCCAAGGGCTCTCGTTCATTGTTGTAGACTATAAATAGGGTTAGAGAGTGAGGGGTTGAGGGTGTGAAGTATTTTGTAAAAACTCCTTTTGGAGAGGAGGGTTACTCTTAATTAAGAAGATCTTTCAAATTGTAACTTTTTATTACAATTAATAAAAAAATATTTTTACCTCTTCATATTTTTCTTTTCTTCTCTTTGTTTGGTTATGAAGATGGAATTAGGATAAAGATGAAGATCAATAGAAAGGTTTGCTATCGCATTGAGGCTAGAACTCTCTTAGGATGTAAATTTTCTCTTTGTTAATAAATTTATCTTTTGTTTTTTTATTTTTTAAATAGCCAAGAGGCTAGAACCCTCTTGTCTTAGATTTATTTTCATGCTTAATAGAGTAGATATATTTTCATGTCTTTACTTTCTTGCTTTAAATTCTTGCATTTATTTTTTGTAATTTATTTTATAGTTTAGATTTTATTTTCTTGCATTATTCGTATTGAGGCTAAAACCCTCTCGGGATTAGTTTTTATTTTTATTTTTATTTTCTTTGATTCGCCTTGAGGCTAGAACCCTCTAGGGAATTGCATTTTTTTAAAGATGCGGAACTAATACTTGTGGAACTCTAAAAATTACATGAAACTAGCTAGTGGATTTAATTCTAGATTCC